AATGTATGGATAATCAAATAAACCTACAATGTTTCAGTCCAGTAAATGTCAATCAAAAATATTCTCAATTTCACTTTAAAAAATCATTAAGGATATCACAGCAAAAAACAAATAAACACTAGTAGCAATTTTAGAATTATGTACTTAAATAGGCCTTTTACTTGCTAAAAAAAAGTATAAACTATTAATCTGATGACAGCATTTAGATTGTGCACAGTAGGTTTTTCAGCAAAGTTTTGATTATGTTGATAACTTATAGGCCATAGAAATTCAAAATCCATTATGATTTAGCTTCAAAGGGTTATACTTTCAATCAGTCGCTGTTAAACCTTGTCCTCACTAGGCATGATAAAGTGCAATAAATCAAATCTCTTCTATTGTAATTAATGGTTTTTGCCCTAATCCTCACCAGTTAACAACAACATCAATTAGCGTAAAAATAGTGTAAAAGCTAATCCGTTCAAATGTGCCGTGGAAAATACTACTCCCTTGGATCCTAAAAACTAGCTGTTTGTAAATTCTAAACCTGTCAGACTACAACATTATTACTGTATTTACCGTAGCTAATCGAAATGTTTTTCTTGTTAGCATTTTGCTAAGCTATGAGGCTACTATGTCAGCTTACTGCAAGCTGTAAAGGCAAACAAAGTTTAGAAATATTTAGCTTGAACATTTATAGTTTCAGTTACATAATGTAATATGTAATATAGTATAATTTTGATGTGGAATCATGTCTGTGCTTGTGTGGAAACACGATTCTTTAGTGTGGGCTGGCTCACGCAAGCCCTCACAGTTTCTGAGTTTAGCTAAAATCCATGCTCACAGAAAGTGTGTGTACACTATTTTGCACCACTGGTAAGATCACAGATTTTATGTAGGTATCTTGCCCTGTCTGGAACGACCTCCCTGGATGTATATCTCTGCTCTCAAACAAAATTATAGATGCAAGATGCTGATCTGAATTGTGAGAGAGATAGAGCAAACAGGTCACTCTTCCAACATTTCTTTCCCTTAAAAAATGGTTTTATTACAGTAATCGTCTAGCAACCATGTTTATTTTTTTTGTGTGTGTTTTTTTTGGAAGATCGATTATCATTTTTTTAACCAAAGTTTTACTATAAATACCATGGTTAAAACTATGGTTAATGTAGGAAAACCATGGGTATATTTTTGTAAGGGTTTCTAATGAGATACACCTTCAGGCCATTGGGCTGATCTTGTTATGCAGAACATTTTCTGCTTTTCCGATACAGACTATTACAGCTAATAAAAGAAAAATATTGCAATTATATATATATATATATATATATATATATTTTAATTAAAAATGAATATCTATTTCTTGTCACTATCACAAGTAAAATATGTTCTCTATTAAAATGTAAGTATAAAAGCATACCATCAAAATCTCATAAGATAATCCTCATGTAATGTCTTTATTAACAAGCTCTTTATTTTCATCTTGTCAGGCATCCTGCTACATTTCTTGACAATGTGTAGAAAAGTTAATGAATACATATTAAGTGTATCATCGTGTCAAGAGCACGCTGTGTTTCTGAATATCTGGTCTACCATTTAATTTACTTCCACATATTACAATACAGGCATATTCATTTTTCAAAAGTTACAATATTTCAAAAGGCACTGCATAACAGAAATGACCCTCCTGGCAGACGTCAAACACTTCACACCAGCCAAAACATCCATAAACACCTCAGAGTATTAAAGATGAATTATATTTTTGAGTGCTGTGGCCTGCTGGTTTAGCCTCCGCATTTCCAGGCTCAACGTCACTCTCATTGTAAGTAAGGAGACTGAATGTTGTGAATCAGTTACAGTTATTTTTATCACGATTACCGCTTTGCTTCATAGTTTTTTGACTGTCTAGCGTTCATTTATGAAAATTATTTTTTTCTCATTCAAGTGAAAACCTTGTTCATTTTTACTTGTCATTGCGCAAAGTGGACATGTGTGTAATTCATTAATTTATCAATTACTGTAATTGTGAAGCTCTACCAGGCATCATATTTAGGTCCACTTCTCTCTGGTCTGGTAATTCAATGCTGGAGATTTCGATTAACCTTCTCATTACAGTGATGACTGCTGGCAGACTGGAGCTTCATTCCTTATCTTCTTCAGGACGTCAAATGCATCATCAGTGCAGCATTAATCAACACTCACGTTACGCTCTGAAATGCCTTCCTCTGCTCAGATCCTCATGTTTCTGCCAAGATGACACCAATCCGCAGCAGACATGGCACAGGCGACTGACATTAATGGAGGAAATGAGAGGAGGAGAGATAGAGGTGTAACTTTCCTCTGGTCATGGTTATGCTTCCATTACATATGAGGTGTCACTCATGTGGCGTAAGAGTGGCACGACTGATGGGGGCCGTCGGTTGATCTTTTCTCTCTCTCTCTAACAGTTGTTTCACTCTCGTTTCCTTTTTAACAGCCTCAACGCCTTCCTCCACCACCACCTCCTCATTCTCGCTCAGACCTTTTGGTCCCTCATTCACCCACACCTTCATTTTAGGGGGGCTATCTTGCCCCTTTCCAATCCCCAGAGGCAGAGGGCAGGCAGTGGGAGAGTGTGTACAACACTATTTGCACAGATAAAATGACGCTATTTATATAACAAACAGGGCTACCTTAATATGTGAGCAACATGTATGTACATGTTTGTATTTTTGTTATATTGTTAATTGTATAATATTGTTTATGCATGGTTATTGAAAAAAAATATATAATAAAGTTTCTGAAATAAAGCCACAAAACATACTAAATATGTGTCCACAAGACTTTTGACTAATGGATGTTGTCGCCTAGAGTTTTTGCTTCAAAATGATCTGAAAATCATCCTGCCTAATCATTCACAAAAACAATAGATAGTTTTAAATTGTGAATAACATTTTTTTGTTTGGAAAGGCAATATGCGGATGGGCATGAACGACCCCAACCCTTGTCATGAATAATTAGGTGGTTCACACCTGAGAAGACAAAGACCCGCATGTAAGGGTGCACACAGACACAAAAAACGCTATTTTTTTAAAAAACGCCTCGGTTTGTTTTTTGGTTTAAAAACGATCGACCTGGAGCTTCTGAAGTTACAGTAAAACACAACTTGGGGGCGCTCAAACACAAAACGGCACTGCCGAGCACACATATGTAACGGCAAAGAAGATATACACCAAGTAGCGTTTAAACTGCCGGGAAGAAATAAGACGAGGAAGATGCAAGGCAAGATGAATGCAGATCTGCTGGTTTCGTTGGTGTCTGAACATAAATAACTAAATGACAAGCGCATAAATAAAGTAAATACTTGCTCTCTTCTTCTAAATTAACAAGCGAGTGTCAGAAGCGCCACCTTGTGTACTAGTGTATTTCTGTTTTACATCAAGTACCATCTAATGTCAGGGAATGAATTTGCATGCTCACTCGGCTCATCGTCAGTGAAAATTGCTTGGGTGTGAACACAAAAAATGCGCTGAAAAAGCCGATATTCGTCCCGGTGTGTACGGCCCTTTAGATTATTATAATTTGATAAATTACATGTATATATTAATGTTTATTTTATTAAGATTGCATTCATTCCCATGACTTTTTAAAGCTCTGATATTTCCAGGTTTTCCATGGCCATGGCATGTGAAACATCAACAAAAATGACATTGTGTACTGAAACAGAAGGCCCGTACAAAACTCCTTTGTTGCACAGAACTTCAATAATCTCAAAGCCCACCACACACAGCAATAAGACATATGCCACAGGGGAGGTCCTCACTAACAAAACCTGTGACCATGTCTGACATATTTGTCAGTGATATTTCTACTGGCCCATGCCTTGTCCTCAGGGTATGCTGAAACTCAGATGAATGTGGAGCTTCTTCATCTGATGCACAGGAGCTAATGTTTAATTGAGTGAAATGGAGAACATGAGTGTGCATGTAGATGGGGGAGAGACTCACGCGTCCACGTCTGCCAGGAGCTCCAGCTTGCCGGGGAAGATCTCGGACAGGAGCACACGTGTGAACGAACGGCCTAAAGACTCCAAATGAGACTCTAAGTGCTGAAGAGAGAGAGAGAGAGAGCAAGAGAGAGACTGATTGTTGCACATATTTACATAAAAACAACACAATTTTATGCACAAAACTCAAGGTCAACGAGAACAGCCCACATCAAACATTGAAGGAGGAAAGAGAACAGAAAATCATTACAACCAAGTATTCCCAAATTTACTGAAAAACAAGAAAACAGCTTTCTATATCGCCTAATGAAAAATCTTCACAGAACCGCTGATGCCGAACGTGTGTAAACAGCTTGTGTAAACGCTTTAGTAACCAGCATCAGTTCTGTGTTGCAAACATCAATGGCCAGTTTAGCTTGATTTTTTTTTCCAGTAATAATATTGGGCCTTGATTTATTATATTAGTGATTGATTTATACTTGTTTACTTGATCTGCGCAAAGACCTGAACTCCACTCAACACATTTAAGATGAATCGCAATTCGGGATACACAATATATTGGTATTAATTATCAAGCATTTTTATTTATTTACATAGGATTGTATATTTAACATTTCATGCACTACATTTAAATCATCTAACACTTGCTTCAAGTTTATCTTTCCAAACACTAATAATTAACGTTAAATGTAATCTCAAAATGAATATTGATTTTTAATACTGTATTGAATTAGAACTTTTTGATATCTAAATTCCCTTGTAGAGTTTAGAACAATGGTTTTTTTTTATGTCTGCCTATAGGAATATGACACCTATCACTGTATACATATATAAGCTAAGAGTATTATCAGCAGCTATCGCGTTTCTGAATCAGAAAAAAAATTCTCAAATCATGTTATACTTTAAAATCTTGAATTAATGATACCTGCAATACATGCATGTTGGTTCTGTTCTGTTTACCCTCTTATCCATGCAAGGCTGCATGGATGCGCAAGAACCATATCGCCAATCCATACTGTATGCTAATTGTCAATCCTATTTGACGATAGTGATCCTGACAGAAATCAATATATCAGTATCAGACAGAATTCTAATATTGATGCATCTCGATATTGAGTGTATTATGAGTTTTCTCGGCTCTCCAAGTCATTACAAAATAAACGTTTATGACATTTCAAAGACAGTAGGACACTTTGAGGTGATTTATCACTGAACATTTCTCATAGCCCATATCATCTGATCATGATCCAGCTCAATTTTAGCCTAAGCCTGAACAGAGCACCGCTGTCCTGTTGAAAAGATCTGTCTTATCAGACTCTCGTATGATAGAAATGATTCACTGTCTTGCAGTTTGTCACGCAAAGTCCCATGTCAGTTCAATTCCTACTTTGACGTCACTAAGATAATGTCACAGCTGAATTAAAGACTGGGGCGAGATGAAGCACTCATAAGAAAAAGAGATTAATGGGATATGTTAATTTGGCATATATAGGAAGCCAATGAAAATTCTCACCAAAATGATAATCAAATATATTTTATTTTGTCATGGATAACTAAAAGTATACAGTATGAAATATGATTATTCATTTTGACAAATCCAATATCAAAAGAAAAAAAAAGATTTTCTATATAATATTCTCATTTTTCTCAGCTATAAATAATTAAGGTAAAACAGAATGCAGCAAGTTTTTGATTGCCAGTTTGCAGCCACATTTAAGTGAAAAGAGTGTCAAAAGTCTAAGCGTGAAAAAAGTCAGAAGAATAGAATAAAATGATTCTGTGTGAATAATTTACACGTTCACAGATCTCTTGTGGTATAATTGTACTTGCATAAGAAGTCTATGACTTAATAAGACAACTTGTTTCCAAATTGTGTAAATTACTGACAAGTACAAAGAGTGGCAAATAAACTAAACACTTCACCTCTAATTTAAGAACTACAGAAGTCATATGATGTCCCAACTACAATATTAAACAAATCTGAGTGTATATATTAAGACATTCTAATACACCTTTCATTTGTTCATTAGCCATCAATGCTAATTATTAACTCAACAGGAATGTGAATAATAGCACAATTCTTGCTCACTTCAGGACAAAGTGATGCATTACCAGACTCTCCCCACACACTTTGAAGTGTGAAACCCAGTGGACCACAAGTATTACCAGCAAAAACCCCCAGACATCGGTGAGGAGGCATTCAGGTGAACGGGCGGCTTCAAAGCACACCATGAAAAAATAAATAAAAAAGGGAAGGGAGGGAGGGGAAGAAGACTTCGCTCCTCTTCTCCAAAATCATTTCATAAGACTTCACTGTTAATCAAGTATGTTTTATATGACAAACACAGAATATGCAGGGATGTGTTACATAAACCCAGAGACATTTCTTAGATAAACTCATGTGATTTAATCCTCTTTTCACCAGAACCAGATTTAAAATTTTCTGTAGTATTTTCTGAAACATAGCTTTGCTAAAAGACCTAGACTTTACACAATCTGATGAGCAAATATAGTACTATAAATGTTTACATTTATTAAATTACAAATGAATTTGCATCATAATAGATTTTGACAACAACAAAAGATATGGGAGGAGTTTTCTCTTATAAGCTATTGAAGCACAATTATATATTTACTAGCATCGTTTAAGCAGTGTGTACGACCCTGTCAGAACAGACCTACGGGCTTGTTTTAGGTTGTGACCCACCAGTTGAGAACCACTGATCTAAAAGGCACTCCGACAGGAATAAGGCATGGATTAAAAAAAAAAAAAAAAGCATTTGATGAGAGCTACAGACATCGCCGCCAGAATCACCATCCACTATCTGTTTGTCTAGATGCGGAATTCATCTCACTCGTCTTCTCGAAGCACACCAATTAAAAAAGGATGAGACAAGAAAGGGAGAAAATGCTGCCAAAACAAAACCAAATCCAAATACATCCAATTGAACAGATGAAAAGAGGCAGATAACAAAGAGAGGAGGATTTGAAGGAGAAGAAGAAAAGGAAGAAGAGGAGAAAGAAGACAGGGAGGTGACCTGCCCCTCCCAAAACAATTGATTAATGCCCCTGGTGAACTCTCCTCTCGGCCAAATGCCGCAGGCTGTGTGTGTGTGTTTCGTTCAGAGCAGGTGCAAGACTGAACTGAGCAAGGAAGATAGACATTTTTACACTACCAGAAAACATATTGCATGACAAAGGGTAGCAGATAGTCTTACCTCCAAAATTTTGGGGTTTCCCTGTCTGCCAAGGGTGCCTAGGATGAGGCCCCATCTCTGTGCTGAGCGAGCTCTCTCTATGGCCTGCAGTCTGGTGGCCCGCATTGCCTCATGGTCATAATACTCTCGAGAAAACACTTTACTGTATGGGTCATACCTGCAGATATGGAGGACAACACATTATTTACAAACAATAAAATACAAAAAAAAAAAAAGAAGAAGAAGAACTGGATCCTTAAATTTTCTGAAGAGTGTTGCAAGGTAGTTGCTAGGACATTTTGGATTCATCATTCAAGGTAAGTCTATGGGATTTATTTCCCATTTTATCGTCCGCCAGGTGAACGTGCAATACAAATAAAATGACTAAATAAATACAATATTAGGTTAACTGTAACTAAAGCTCAATGTAAAAGTTCAGCTAAACGTTCCATGTTCCAAAAATATTAATTCAAATTAAACTTGATTCAGACTTTCCTCTTTAAATGCAATAATTATCGCCTTGGTGCAAAGTGAGCCACATTTGGTTTTTGACCCAAAATGGATCACATAAAACAAATAGAACATGGAGACACATTGAGATCCCCGTATCGATGGGGCTTGAAAATGAAGATAAAAAATTATCTAGTAAGGATATTAAGATATCTTTAATACTTTTAGAGGTGCAGGCACGACAACTTTGGAAAAATAATATGAAAATTATGGCACTCAGGTGTGTTCAATGCAATTGTGCTGACTGAGAAAAAAACGATGCATTTCTAGTTTTAAAATAATTTGTTGTTCAGATATTCCTCTTTAAAAGTAAATGCAAAGCATTTGCTATTTAACCACTGAAAATGTGAACAATTGACCAAATTTTCAACCAAATTGATTTGAACTTTTTCCCATTACTATTTTGCCAAATTTGTTTAGATTATTAGAAATTATCATAATAATAAATAAATAAATAAAAATAGCCAAAGGAAGGAGATGTCCAGTATATCATCAAAACAGCTGAATTTGGTCAATTTACTTTGGATATTTCTTCTTTGCAGGACTTGTAGATCAAAGCTTAAAGACAATGAGCTTTAGTAATGATGCTTGCTTTAGCAAAAAAAAAAAACATGCACAATTGCACATTGGTTTACCTGTAGGCAGGTATCTCTGGGTTGGAAATCATGATGGACTCCAAATGAAACCTTCCATCCCCAAGATAGCTATAGACAGAAACAAAACTCCGTCAGAGAGAAAGTCTGAGTGGGCAGAAAGAATAAAACTCTGCTAACTTCATTCTCCCTCTGTGATTTATCTAGGAAAATATAAAGGCCAATGGGTCTAGGCCTAGAAGACTCCAGAGCATCACCCTTCTAACATTCAGCAAGCATTCAGGGCAAGACCTACTCACTTCGAAGTCATGGCAACATTAACCAGCCGGAGAGCGAGTCATAGACACGGGCTACAATCCAGAAACTCCACAAATAAACCTGTGTGATATGATGAGGTCATGACGCGGACAGCGCGCAAACGCAACTCAACACACTAATTATCCTCGGCTGTGCTGACGGGAGAGGACCTGCCATAAGTACTGGGAGTATAGATTAACCTGGCAAATTGATGGATGCCCTGGGGAACGTAGTCACAATCAGAAAAGCTAATTAAGACACGTTTATAAAACTCTATGGAACATACCGTGGGTGGGATCCCCCTGGGCCCACCGGAGCAAAGGCTAAACCTGCCAACCTGCCTACTTCCCTCTCGCACACACACACACACAGTGACAGAAAAACATTCTTCAGCATTCACTCTCTTTGTCCCTCAAACATAAAAATCCTGTTGTGCTGCTACACCGTCTTGAACCTCCTAAGGAAACTGGATTCAGACAGAAAGCAGTGATGCAAGATATATTATTGGTTTATAAGTTATCGACCAATGTTGAAATTTCTTTATTTACTTATTGTTAGAGATGGTATATCTAAAAGTCTAGTCTTAGATTAAAAAGGTGGTATAAAATAAATTGTGTACTAGTGGTATACATACCACAGCTTGGGAACCACTATGACTTACTTTACTTTATCTGTGACTGGGTGGATAGTGAGAGCTTGGGTGTGTGTGTGGGCAGACGTGGGTGTGCGTGGTGTTCGCGTGTGAGTGTGTGGTTAAGGTTTATCTTATATTTTGTATCAACTCAGTTGTTTTGCTGTTTAATGTTGTTTGGACATGATCCCGAGGACCCCCATGAAAATGAGATGTTTCATCTCATAGGGCTTATCCTCTAAAAAATGTTCATAAATTTTTCCATTTACATGATCTTTGCCATTATGTAACACTCAAAAAAGTTATTCTTCAAAAACACTTGAAAGCAATCTTTAGCAAATCACAAAATGAAAATCCATTTTATGATGCCAAAATGTATGTGTATTCCTCAAAAAGATTGACTTTATTTGTATACAAAGCAGAACAGCATTTAAGTTTTTTTATTGGTTAACTTAACAGCATTAAAATAAAAATATGGTCTTATCTGTATCAACCTCAATTTGAATATGTATGAAGAGTTCAGATGCAAAAGCCTCTAAATGCCATTTGAAATTTTCTTCTTTAATGATGATTTTTATCAAACTTGTATATTTAAGTTCAATAATTTCACTTAAATAACATTCATTGCCATTTAAGTGAAATTACTGAACTTAAATATACAAGTTTGATAAAAATCATCATTAAAGAAGAAAATTTCAAATGGCATTTAGAGGCTTTTGCATCTGAACTCTTCGTATGCATCCCTATTTTCAGAATATCATAGCATTACACAACAAATAATCAGAAACAGTGGTTTCCAACCTTTTTGAACCCCAAGCCAATATTTGAAAGCTATAATATATTTCTGCTGTACTGACAAAAATATACCTTGATCAGCAGCCATTTTAATTTTTTTCCACCAACTATGGAAACAAATATGTGATATCACAGTGAAATATATATCCATGTCACCTTCAAAAACTGTACTATATACTGTACTACTTACAAAGGCAGCAGTTGGACACAGTCATTGACAAAACAATTCCTCCTCCACATACTTTTCGCTTTATATGTTGCCGTAATTAAACACACCAGTTATTGCGGATTACCACACTCTCTCTTTCAAGGGCCTCTATTACAAATATTGCATTTATGGCGGAGGCATTAAACTCTAAGAGGTTCCCCGGCTCAGCTTTTAATGGTATAACACAAATTGATGCATTTCACAGAGATGGCACTACTGAGAATACAAGATTAGAAATGGGCCAATTTGCAGTTCTAAAAACTGCTTTTCACAGCACCGACCCATTCACCCACAGTTCAGTTCATTATGCCTTTAGCAATGAGATGGTCCTGCCTCTTATTTCAAAAAAAAAAATCCCAAGTGGAAACCAGAGGTCGGCGTGGAGACCTGTGGCATACGTCAAATTTTATTAAAGGGTTAGTTCATCCAAAAATGAAAATTATGTCATAAATGACTCCAAGTCCGTAAGACCTCCATTCATTTTTGATACACAATTTAATATATTTTAGATTTAGTCCGAGAGTTTTTTCAAAATGTATACAAGCCCAGAAAGGAAATAGACATCATCAAAGTAGTCCATGTGACATCAGTGGGTTAGTTAGAATGTTTTGAAGCTTTGAAAATACATTTTGGACCAAAAATAATAAAAACTACGACTTTATTCAGCATTGTATTGTCTTCCGGGTCTGTTGACAATACGCGTTCAGATGACGTAAGACGCTGCTAATATGTATCTGGTGCGAAAGAGCTTTGTTTACAGTCTAAGAGAGATGCACGCTGTAAACAAAACAATCTTCACACACATTTCTAAGGATTTCGACACAGAGAAAGACTTACATTTTTTTGTAGTTTTTGTTATTGGACCAAAACTTATTTTCGGGGTTTCAAAAAATTCTAACTAACCCACTGATGTTACATGGACTACTTTGATGTGTTTACTTCCTTTCTGGACAAGGACAGTATACCGTACATACATTTTCAATGGAGGGACAGAAAACTCTCAGACTAAATCTAATGGCATAATTTTAATTTTTGGGTGAACTAACCCTTTAAACACAGAGCGCTTTATGATCCGCCCAACTCAACGGACACTTCATGAAGGTGCCAATAGGCCACAGACCTGTGTAATTTTTCAACACAATCAGCTGTAATCACCTTCTCCGCGGGACTTTATTAAGACCCCCGGCCAAAATATTACTGCTTGTGAGAAAGTCAGGCTCTGCATAAGCTTAATAAGCTGTTAATTATATGATGGCGATTCGGCTTTGCGATATACGATCACATTACTACACCGTGGGTGTCAGGGAAAGTTTTTAATTTGCAGAGGGTGAGGGCGAAAAGTAAATGATCTATGAAAGGCTATTTGCATAATAGCCATGTCATTTTAGGGGTCAGTGACAGGGCCACTTTTGTCTGTCTAAAGTTGACAGACCCCCTGATGAAGAGGTGATGGGTGAAAATGAAAGAAAAAAAAACATCAATTCTCTTCCTCTCTCTTCAAACACACACCAACATTAATCAAAGACTGCATGCTGAATTAAGAGGCAGGCAACACAAACACACACAGACATGAGGTTCCCCTCTATCTCACAAGAGCAGAGCTTGCTGCTCATGGCCGCTGTGTGATACAGAGAATAATAGATCACACACACACACACACACACATATCTGTTGCTTAATGTCTCGTCTCTGTGTTACAACAGCACTTGACACGCTCCTCAATGACAGCATGAAACTGCATCTGAAACGCATTTAACTTACGTAATGTGATATTTCAAAGAAAAACAATATGCATCAGGTAAAAATGAAGGGAGGGTCTTGAGGGCCTTCCAATTTGAAAAGTAATTTGAAAAGTGGAAAATAATATTATTATTTAGTATTATTTTTCCTACTACTGACATTTTGGTCATATCAACTGAAAAGGGTTTTTCAAAGAAAGTGAAGGTTATTTTGATGCCCATGAAAAAATATTCCCCCTTAGAATAACAATGCACTATAAGTTATAAGTGTAAGTGACATGTGAAGGCCAAGTATGGTGACCCATACTTAAAATTTGTCCTCTGCATTTAGTAAGGAATAGTGAATAGTCAACAACACACACACACACACACACACACACACCCGTTGGGTTTCTATGTTTTATGAGGACGTTCCATAGAAATAATGATTTTATACTGTACAAAATATTTATTCTATCCCCTAACCATCACAGAAAACCCACATTAAGTCCCCACAACATACGGTATAGCAGGTCCACACACACACACACACACACACACACACACACAGTTACTAGTACTACGCTATACTCAAGATGGCCCAGAGTTTTTTTTACTTACATTACAGCATTGACATGCTTGTCCAGACGAGGTGAGGTGCACCCAAGGATCTCCCCTGGAGAGAGTGGTCGACACTGAGGTACCAACACCTCGTAATCTGGCCTTAACTCTGTACTGGCTGCCTGAGAAGAGAAAACAAAAAGGGATGCTGAGTCCAAGGTAGCAACTTTTCCACCAACAATCTGTTTAGCCTGGAAAAGCTTTCCTGATAAGGCAGTTCTGGGCTGGAAAAGAAGGCTCAACGTCAACCCCCCTAATACCACTAATGTCAGAGACCCGAAGGCAGGAAAATATAATATAAATATAATAAGTTAAGAATAAAATAAAGTCTTGTCTTTACTGGTGAACAAACTGGACCGATTTTGGAAACCTAAGGTTTTTTTTTCTTTCTGGTGTTTAACAGCAATATCACAATCATGCTGGTTGTACTGCATATTAGTAAATGTCAGAGCTGCCATAAAATATTATATGCATTACCATTCAAAAGTTTAGGTAGGTAAGGTAGGTAAGATTTGTTTAAATGTTTTTAAAAGCATCTTATGCTCAACCAAGGCTGCATTTATTTGATCGAAAATACAGAAAAACAGCAATATTGTGAAACACCGTACTATTTTATTACATTTTTTAAAATATAATTGATTCCTATGCTGGGAAAGCTGAATTTTCAGCGCAATTACTCCAGTCTTTAGTGACACATGATCCTTCAGAAATCATTCTAATCTGCTGATTTTTTTTCCTCAAGCAACATTTTTATTTTTAGAAATTTAGAAAAAAATTGTGCTGCATTTTTTTTAAAATCATGATGCAGTTTTTTCAGGTTTCTTTTGATGAATGGAAAGTTCAAAAGAATAAAAACAACATTTCTTTAAAATAGAAATATTTTGTAACCATGTCTTCACTGTCACTTTTAATAATTTTAATGCATATAAACTGAAGTATAATTAAAAAAAAATATTTTGAACACTATTTGTCAACTAACTGTTATGTATTGTTATTCATTGTATATATATAGTACATATACACACACACACATATATATAAATATATATATATATATATATATATATACATACACATGTTTATACACGTATATATATATGTATATATATATATATATATATACAGTATATAAAAGCTCCTAAAACTTGCATCAAAAGCTCTGGACAGGTTATATTGTAATATAGTCAAGTTGTAACATGGTCTGGCTCGGAGAGAAGATTGCAGATCTAGCTGAGCTCCGGCTCCCGAACGTGCAACGACACCTTTTTCGAAGGAAACGTGGTAGAAGAGACAGATACAATCAGAGACACAGTCATCCAACACATCTCCCAACACCTACATGCTTTCCTTTCCAACAAAAAGGAAGCAAAGGAATTGTGCCAAAAAAAAAAAAATTAAGGCAAAAAAGCTCCAGTAATGCAATGGGGGTGGAGACATTCAAGTTAAAATTTAGTTTTTGATGAGCAAAGAGAATAACAATAACACATAAAACGCATGCATTCACACCCCTCTGACCCCAAGCACCCACCCAAAGCACAGGCACGGGCCTACACACACACACGACAACCAAGCCGTGCTATTTCCAGAAATGAGGGGTCATTTTTAGGCAGGAGGGTGAAACCGACAGCGAGGAGGAGAAAAAAACAGGAAAAAAAAAGAGGAAGGCAAGAAAATCTCACACTTATATAAAGTACAGTGCTGAGTGCAACATGCCTTCTGATAATTCCTCTTGCGCAGTTCAAAATAACTTTAACTGCATTTCACACCCACATACACAAACACACACTGTTACAGGCGCAAACACACACACAAGGGCAGCCGTATGTGCTGTCAGAGACCTTGAAGCAGGAAGGTAAGTGATAGAGAGAAAGAGACAGTAAACGAATCAGAGAACATTTTTAACCGAAGGGAATGGTTTTATCATTGAGGAAGAATCGGGAGGTTCAAAGGTCACCTGCAAAGCAGCCACAAACTGGATGGTGCTGACAAGAGCGAGCGAATGGCCAGGAGGGAAGTTAAACCTGAGCGTCTCCAGGAAGTGGGCAGTGTCAATCTGGATGTCCACAAACACGTACAGCATCTTGATGCCCTCAGTCGAGTCTATAGGGACTGAGACACAAACAACATTAGCATAGGGGTGGGCGATTTGACCATAGTTTGAGAAATTTTATTTCATGATGATTATTTTATGTAAAAAAAGGACAAAGAAGCTAATTTCAAAAAGTAGGATAAATACAATAGTACAAATTACATAAACATTACATTTTTTTAGCTACAGTATTTATTTAACATGGAAATACTCCAGAAATTGAGGCATTAAGTGTATAACTAAAACACGGAATTGTTGTAAATGTCTTGAAAACTTTCTAGAAAGTTTGTTACTCAGCCTACCTCAGATCTACAGATGACAGTTACAAAAGAAAATAGAAAAATCGCACAACTGCTATTAATGTCATTCATTTCACACCCCATTTGAAGCAGAGCTGAAAGAGGGAGGCGGGCTTCAGTCCTCTTCCATCTACATTATTTACTGCTGATGGTCATAATTGCTGCTTTTCTTGAAGCATTCTCTTTAAAGCCACTGCTCTAATGGCCATTTCACTTGCTATTAGGCAAATGCCACCTTTAGAGAGTGTTTTAAACATGGAGTTTAACTATGTAAGAACAGACGACAAGACCGTAAATAAAGTGGGAAGAGAGGAAGAATAATTATATCACTCAAAGCAAGATCAACAGAGGCTTCTCAGTAAGCATACTTTGATAGGGCGTCTTTGAAAGAGCACATAGTCTGGAAATCTATCCCTTTTTAAAGGGATAGTTCACTCAAAAATGAACATTCTGTGCGTGTGTGTTTTTTTGTTTTGTTTTTTGTCAATACAATAAAAGTCAAAATGGTAACCAAAAAAGTTAGTAGGTTACTGTACCAACATTCTTCAAAATGAGAACAGGATTTTCATATCTTTAAGTGTCATATACAAAGCTGTATACAAACATTTTAAAAAGGACACAAACGTAACAACACATTTACTGAGTGTTGTTCTAACATCAGGCAGGAAACATGTTAGAAACAATGGTAACACTTTACAATAAGGTTCATTAGTAACAAAGATGAATAAATACTGTAACAAATGTATTGCTCATTGTTAGTTAATGTTAGAAAATACATTAACTAATGAACCTTATTGTAATGTGTTACTGAACAATTATACGGTCTCTTATTAATTATTCTAAGACAGTATCACATGTATGTTTTTGTATGTTTATGAAATACACGGTGTGGCGTGTGAGTGTCTGAGCTGGTTGAATTGCGTGTGTCTCACGGCCATTGTGTGAGACTTGAGAGCCCTGCTTCAAGAGGACAGTATGGTCTGTCAACCCTCCAAAGAGAACTTGAGATAAAAATATTGTTTTCTTATATATTTTTACTTCTAGTTTTAACATTAGCACCATTGTCTCTCTTTCGTTTTGTCTTTTTTGAAAGTTGTATACGGAAAAGCTTGTGCTCCTATTGGTCAACCTCATACATGTGACGGAATCGTCGTGGACGACCGTTAAAAAAATTAAACATACTAGTCTTTTTGCCGTGAAGCATCGCAGACGCGCCGTAGGTTGTCACCCACTATGACACACTATAAGAGATGATACGATCGAATCTTGCGTCCCGACGCCCATTGTCGTTTACGAATCCCCACGACACCCTACGTCAAACGGATCGTGCCAAAATCGTGTAATCTGAACCAGGCATAAGATGATCCCTTAGAAGGCAGCTGCCTATATAGTAGTGAGTGAGGCAGCTAAAAAGGTTTTTAAAACAGAGCTATAAAACAAACGTCCTGAACCAAGTCCATGGTTAGTAACTAGAGGAAATGATGTACACCGAGAGAGAGAGAGAGAGAGAGAGAGAGAGAGAGAGAGAGAAAAAGAGGGAGAAAGTGGCAATATATTTTTATTCTTGCAAAGTTTTACATTTAAGTGGGGCACTGTCAAAATGCACATATATACAGGGCTATTTTCAAACACATATGAAACACACAAGTGGCAATAACCTCTTTCCGCAGGTGCTAGAAAACAAAGTAAAAAGATGTGAGGGGCCGGAGGGTTGAAGTTAAGTGGAATCGATCCATTTCTCTTATCCAATTAGCACGGCAGACTGAGAGCACTTACTCACTGCAATTACAGCTTTTGTCAATAAGAGTCATGGAGCTAAGAGTCATCCCTTCGTCTCCTTCCCTTATCCATGTTTTTGTTTAAGGGCTAAAATAAAGGCAGATAATATAAGCAGATAATAGAATAGAATAGAATAGAATAGAATCAGGATCTCTTCTTAACCACCACTGGTGTGCAGCATCCACTTGACTTGGATGATGCGACGGCAGCTATACTGTACAATGGCGCTAGTGCGCTCACCACACACCAGCTATAGTGGAGAGGAGAGAGAGTGATAGAGCCAATTCAGTGGATGGGGATTATTAGGAGGCCATGATTGGCAAGGGAAAATGGAGGGCATGTGGGCAGGACACGAGGGTTACACCCCTACTCTTTATGTGAAATGCCATGGGATTTTTAATGACCACAGAGTCAGGACCTCGGTTTTTACATCTCATCCGAAGGACGGTGCTCTTTGACAGTACAGTATCCCCAGCACTAAACTGGGGTGTTAGGACCGACAAAGACCACAGGGTGAACGCCCCCTACTGGCCTTGCTAGATATGTTTGAGGAGCTTCATTAAGTTGGAAAAAATGAAAGAATTCACAGGTATGCACATGCCCAGTGACATGTTCAAAATGCCAGAGGTCTGTGGTTTGTGTGTTTATAAAAAGTACAAAGTACAGTATAAAAAGTGTATAAATATATGTATATATACATATATACAATTAACATCCATTAAAAGAGAGCAGGAGCAACCTTTCATTCTATCCGTTAAAGAATATAGATGCTATTGAATCAACCAGAAGGTGAACTGTAATCATTGACAACATCTTCACAGGGACAGAATGAACACTCACTTTTTACCTCTGCTTCGTCAGCTTTTTATTTTGGTCAGCAAAATCACCACAGAAAAATATAAGCTTTCTGCATCTGCTATCAAAATTGTCACAGTCACTCCATTTAACCTGTGATATTTGAATATTGTTGGTCTCAAGAATATCACTAAAAAGAAACAGCCAAACAAACAGAGCAAAAATAAATGATATGGCAAGCGATTCCAATCCAAATACACATACAGAAAAATAAAATAAATATAAAAGAATATATAAAATATATACGATTTTTGCATCTGTGACATACTGTATAAGATATGTCACAGTATAGTAAGAAAAATAGTGTACTTAATGTACAATATACAAATATATTTATTTATTTATTTATTCTTTGCTGAAGGCTTCGTCCCCTCAGACGCAGGATTAATATTCCCTTGGCCGGCTCTGGTATTTGGGAGAGATGTGATTGTTCTGCTGGAGATATATTGGCCCTATTGATTTAGCATTTCCTCTACTGTATGACGGGCTGCTGACGGGCAACGTGGGGTGAAGGAGCAGCCTTCTCTAAACAGGCACATCCAGGCCTTTCAAAGGACACCCTTAATGCATGTTCGCTATTGATCTGCTCTGTACACGTGCAGGCAGGCCCATTCAAAACATCTGCTATCCCTTACACATCACAACTGAGACCGGCTACCACACTGAGCTATTGAGAGCAGCTTTGCAAAGCACTTCAAGATTAAAATCCATACATCTCAACTTCTCCTTACCACGGCTCACTGTCTCCAACCTTTGCTCTTAGAGACTGCCCTGGAGCTTTCTTGGTCTCTTTCTCATTTTTCTCAAACAAGCAGTTACCCGTTAATGAAAGACCTTGAAACATGCTCACGAGAAACCTTAGGAAGGGAACATGAGACGTCTTCCTTTATGAAATATAATTTGAGGGCGTGAAGTCTATACGTATGTTAAAGGAAACCAAACTATGGGGAATCCAAAGCGGATTTATTTTCTTTCTTCTGTGGAACACAAAAGGAGTCCAAACCGCACTTTTCCATCCATACGAGTGATATTTAAGTATTATACATGTGCTATTATGTTATTTCTTAATATTTTGAATTAGCTTTTATTTTTTTATATTTTTAGTTTTCATTTTAGTTTAAATTTGAGTATTTTTGTTATGTGCCTTTTGTCATGTTTAGTCATTTTTTTTCTATATGGTTTCAGTTCATATTTATTTCAGTAATAGAAATTTTAGTGCTTGAAAATTAGAAATGTTGCCATGACAACTAACTGACATAAGTTAATAACTGAAAACAATTTTAGTAGTTTTAGTTAAAGGAGTAGTTCACTTTTGAAAAAAAATTTTGCTGATAATTTACTCACCGCCATGTCATCCAAGATGTCCATGTCGTTCTTTCTTCAGTCGAAAAGAAATTAAGGTTTTTGACATTCCAGGATTGTCTCCATACAATGCAATTTACTGGTAACCAAACGGTTCAAGGTCGAAAAGAGAGTTTCAGTGCAAACTGCAAAATGTTCAAAGGACTTTAAACGATTCCATACGATGAATAAGGGTCTTATCGAGCGAAACGATCGCTCATTTAAAAAAAATAACAAAGTTTAAGTTTTATAAGCTCAAATGCTCACCTTGCTCTGTACTGCGATGCATGTTCGTGACTCTCCTGTTCGAACATCAAAATGAACAAATCTTTTTCTGAGTCAATTCGTTCAATGAATGAACCAAATGACTCGGAAAAAGATTTGTTCATTTTGATGAACGAGTTCGACCAGGAGAGTCACAAACGTTCGTCACAGAACAGAGCAAGGCGACCATTTGAGCTTATAAAACTTAAACTTTGTTTTTTTTTCGTTTCGCTTGATAAGACCCTTACTCATCGTCTGGAATCGTTTAAAGCCCTTTGAACAGTTTGCAGTTTGCACTGAAACTGTCTTTTGGACCTTGAACCGTTTGGTTCCCCCTAAAGTGCATTATATGGAGAAAAATGCTGGAATGTTTTCATCAGAAACCTTAATTTCTTTTCGACTGAAGAAAGAATGACATGGACGTCTTAGATGACGTGGCGGTGAGTAAATTAGTAAATTATCAGCAAAAGTTTTTTCAAAAGTGAACTACTCCTTTAACAATAGCAATATAGTTTTATACAATGAAAGTGAATGTTGACCAGGGCCTGACAAGAAAGAAATAATAAGTATCATAAAAGTTTGCATTCCACAGAAGAAAGCAAGAGAGTGAGAAAATGATGACAGAATGTTACATTTTAGGTTAACTACCCCTTTAATTCGCACATGAATAATGATTGTGTGTGTGTGCGTATGTGTCCGCATACTCACTCAGACAACTGTGCCCATAATGCACCATGAAGTCGGCTCCCAGAGCGCGTGCAGTGAAGTCGTCCACGCAGCAGGCCCCATATGTCACATCTCCCATCACCAGAGTGTCAGCCTCTGTGAATCTGAAAAACAACACAATCAACCAATCAATGACCTTGATCACAACCCTATTGCAATTCAAATCTTTCAGGCCTCAAGTAAAATGACGGGTCCACACAGTTGGCAGATCAATCACTCTGAAGAGGAAATGTCACTCAGACATCCATGTCTCCAGTTAAGTGGGCTCCTGCTAGCTGTAAACTGATGCACTCTGTGCAGTCTGAAAAAAACAAAAAACAAAACATCTAGAATAACCTTCAGAGACAACAAAGCACTGGACAACGATTAACATAAAAACTTCACTGATGGTGGAGGGTCAAGTTCCACGCTAAGGTTAATAGCTATGGTTTGCTGTAAGTAGTAAGCTGGTAACCAAGAGATTGCAAGTAGTGCTATCCATAAGCCAGCAGCCTAGCACCATTGAGAAAGCCATTATACGTGTGCCTGGTTGATTAGCACTGCCGTAACCAATGATGTAAAAACAAATCTGGAAAAAGCTGTCTGTTAACATTAGGGTTGGGTATCGAGAATCGAGTATCGATTGGAACCGAGACTGTTTTTCCCGGAATCGTTCAAAAGTTAAAATTTCGATTCCTAGTTTCGATATTCACAGTCCGCCGAGCGGAAGAAGAAACCGCTGAACAACACCAACGAAGAAGCGTCTACCGGAAGTGTTGGCATAACCACGCGAGTCGAACATGAGTACCTTACGTCGGCGATCCAAAGTATGGCTTCGCTTTTCTAAAAATAACGAAATCTCGGCAAAATGCAACATTTGTGACAAAAGGAGTATTTTTACAGAAGGAGTATTTCCTTCAGAAAGGATTATTTCCTTCAGAAAGGCCGTTGGTTAGCAAGGTTAGCTAAACTTTTTTGACCCTGCCTCTTAAAAGAATCGGAATCGAGAATCGTTAGGAACCGGAATCGAAACAAGGAATCAGAATCAGAATCGTTCAAATTCAAACGATACCCAACCCTAGTTAGAATGCTAGCATTCCCAATTATCCAAATGACACTTTCAGAAAACCCCTCAGAAATGTGTCTGTTTACATTGGAAGCAAAAATGCTGACAATGTGACACATTAACAGCCAATCAAGACAAAATGTATGTTTTTATGTGGAGCAGTATTATGGACCAATTTGGTTTTATAGTTTCAACCCTGCACACATTTTCAGAAAAAAAAAATGTTTTACATTATTTAATATTTCTAAAGAATTCTAAACAAACATGTCTGCTGGAAAATGGTGACATGCAATACATGATAAAACATTGCTAGTCATTTTAAACTCATTCTTACTCAATTCTACCTTTCTTGCAATTTTGACAAAGCATCTATGCCAGCAAGCTACATTCTATCTAGCTTACAAGTGCTTCACAGAATTCACAACCAAGTGTCAAAGAAAATGTTTAAATCAGCAAAGTGTGAATCAGAAAATGTGAGATATAGCACTGAGGCCACGGATCAAATAAGGCCAGTAACTCAAAACTCTCACATTGGCCCGCATTCTTAAAAAATACATATGTTAAGAGTTGAATAAGTATACTACGAAAATACAGATATTCAGACACAACTTGAGAGGAGACTTGCACAAGATGCCACAATTAAGTGACGCAATAACTTGTGCTGTTTGTTACCGATATGCGAAAAACAACAGCTAAGTACAAAAACTCTACTATTTATATCTAAATATTTAATTTAATATCATACAAAACGGTCACTGGCTGATGTGTAAAACATTAAACTCTCAATGCAAGAATTTAAGTGTCTACTAAATGGCTTTTTACTATGTAACTTGAAGGACATTACCGAGCCTGCATGTCCAGTAAAGCCCACTCTTAAGAAATGCTGCAATAAATTGTCCTTGGCTTCCTTCCTTCACTTTGTAGGACAATGACAAGCATTACAGAAAGGTGGATCTCTGAGGAGCTGTTTGAAGAGCCAACGATCTGTTTTTGTTTGCTTCGGCAGGGGTTGTGTTAAGTGTTAGCACATCTATTGACTGGCTCACTGCTGCCGCCTCTCCTCTGTGTGAAATTTAAATGCAGGATAAAAAAGAGACTGGAGTACATAAATTATGACCGAGAAAAACGAGAGAGAATGAATATGCGAGGAGAAGAAAGAGAGTAGAGGCTGTTGTATGGGAAACAGGCTGTCTGGAAGCAGACACATTTAGGACAGGAATTATTAATAGAACACAGGCACATTTTCTTTCTTTCTTTCTTTTTTTTTTTGAGCGTGCACACACACACACACTTCTAAACCCCTCTACCTGATTCACCTTCTAAACTCTCATTCAGACTGAGCTCTCTAAAGTGGCCAGTAGTAGTAGTCTGTACTGATCGCTCTGTCTGGACTGTTCACAGGACAGTTCTTTCTACTTTCTGTATGGGACTTATTCATCAGTTTGTCAATCTATGTAGTCGACTCGTTTACCTCTGTTGCGGGCCAAGCACACCATCTGAAGTCTACTTTTTTGCCTATTGCTAAGATTTTTTTTTCCAAGCTAACTGCTTGGTGGGCGAATATCCCGAAAAAAGAAACGTCCTGGTTATATTTCACCAAAAAAGGTCAATTGCTAATTTATATCTAGATAGAAGTAGCATCTGAATATATATTAGACTTGCATTTATTCTATGCGATCCTCCGGTCTTTGAGCGCCTATGCTGGCATCACTGTAGTCAAGCACTTGATAGACCTAAAAAATCATTGTGAATAATTGGATTTGGATGTGGAATGTGGATTTGTCGGCTAATAAAGATCTAATTAAACGAAAAAAAAAAAGAAAAAAAAAATCCCTTGCACATTTTTTGCAGCCCATCCAAAAAAAAAACCCTCTTTCTCCACAAATAACATAAGTGACATTTTTTCATCAAAACTGACTGTGAATTTTGCCAAAAGGCAATGGGTTTGCAGAAGTGATTACACACATTTTTTACTGCAATAGATTTAACAAATACATGAATACAATGATTTCACCACTGAGAATAATGGGACACTCAAACAACAAAAAAACAAAAAATACATACGGTAATGAGAACTGATTTTTAGGTGCTTAAATACTTTACTGTCATGAAAATGAAATCAATGTTTTATAGTATACATACACATACACACACACACACACACACACACACACACATATATATATATATATATATATATAAATATACACACATATAGTATACACATATAATGTATATATATGTCTGTGTGTGTATGTAAAAATGAAGTAAAATAAAAATGTGTGTGTATACTATAAAACAAACTGCCACACAAACACACACCCGTCTCATGCATGGCTTACTTCAATAACCCAGTGCCCCCAAACACACCCTCTCTTCACACACAGCTATTCTCATGTGAAGGACGCAGGCAAGTAGCCGTTGCTTGTAAAGCAGAGAGAGAGAGAAGGATGAGGAGAGCTCATCTGGTAAATAAATATTTGCTGTGGTAAATTTGATTCGCTCATCCTTTCTCTCATCAAGGTCCCCTCCCTGTCTGCCCATCTGCTGCACGTTTGCGCATACACATTCATGAGTGGGTGGAATCATCACCAGCCCAAAATGATAAGATCCACATGATTCAGAAGGTTCAGAACAATACATATACAGTGGCACCAAAAGTATTTAGAAACTTAAGTCACACTTGTGTATGAAAATGTATAAATGTCATTGCATCACATAGGCCTTACAAAATATCAAACTGGAGCACACCACAGAGAAGCCACACTGAAAACTCACAGAATCAAAATCCCATTCCTCATGTTGAACATAAGACATGGATGATGAGAGGTTGAGTGTGGATGTTCAGAAGCAGATAACATATGGAAAAAAGAAATCACAATTTAAAACTGATTCTCAATGAGCTATTATTATTATTATTTATTTTATGTAAGCTCATTGAGAAACAGTATTATAGTTGCACACGTGCAAAACCACACATACATACTATACATATTCATAATATACAATTACCTCAGGTAACACTGATTATCAAATAGCAACAATGGTAGAGGGAATAGCACAAGGGTAAATAAACTAATCCAACACATGAATGCAATCAAACCTCATTACCATTGTAAAGGGACCAGACCTTTTGTTTATAAAGACGTTTGAAATTGCCTCTGTAGCAAATGCCTCTAAAGCAATGTCATTGAATGCTTTGACATTGCTTTAATTCTGGCCCCAGATTATTCCACAAAGTAACCCCATATTCAGACATAGAAAAACTCCTCCTGGTGGAACCCGCCATTGGGACCACAGTGTTTCTAAATCCTCTCAAAATGTATGACTACTCTCTATGAGAAAATATTTTGAATGTAAACAGGTAATAAATAGTGATAAGCTTTGAAGATGAAATGTGCATTATATAATTTTAAAAGATCCCAGATTTTTAATAACTTTGATTTGAGAAAGAGAGGATTTGTGTGGTCAAAATATGCAGCCGTGTGTATAATTCTCCCAGCTCTTTTCTGTAGCAAAAAAGTGACTACATTTTTACAATAATTAAATTTTTTACAATAATTACATTTTTATAATTATTACCCCATACTTCTACACAGTAGGTTAGATATGGCAGTATTAAAGAACAATACAAGGTATAGAGTGCATTACAGTCAAGGATATGTTTGACTAATTATAGCAAGGCTTTTGGAGACTAGTAGTATGTCTGATGTGGGCATTCCAACTTAAGTTATAGTCTATCGTTACACCTAAGAGTTTTATTTTGTGAACATTTTCAACGTGTACTCCTTCCGTCTCAAACCCGGTTCTGTTAGTCAGCTTGATATTTTCAAAAAAAAAAAAAATCACTTTAGATTTATCTGGATTTAAGGATAATTTATTACTTTCCATCCATTTTTAAAATTTACTTAGTTCTTTGTTTATAACGCTAATCAGAACCTCCAAACTGTCATAGAAAATTGTATCATCAGCATACAATACACATTTAATCAATTGAGAAACAATAAAAATATCATTAATAAATAAATTAAATAATTTGGGGCCCAATACTGATCCCTG